TTTTGAGCGTGCAAAAGAGATGATTTTGTGATGATTTGGTGAAGAACAAAATTTTGGGGCAGTGTGACAGTTTTAAAATAAAACTGTAATTATTTTAGATATTTATGGGTAGTTATTAATTATGGAATGATAAAATCCCTATTATTTTGTAATTTTTTTTAAAAAGGTAACTATATAATATATTTATTTGAATTTACACTAGTTAAGAGTTTTGTTTAAAAAAGGTAACTTAAAATAATTAATTTAATTAACTCCATTGGTTTAAAAAAGGTAACTGAATAATAAATGTAATTATTTAAATAAGTTTATTATTATTTTAAAAAGTTAATGAGAATAATATGTTTTTTCTTGATATGCTATAACTTGATAGTAATATGCTATAAGTAGTTTATTATTAAAAAATATGTTTATAACTTGATATCTATCATCTTAAATGTGTGTGTAGTGTTATTTTTATTTTAAACTAAGTACATTTATCAGGAATTTTAGTTGTGTTTGATCATGGAAAACTTTTCCAAAATTGAAATCCAACTTCGGGTTACATTTTAAAACTTTTAACGAAATATAGATTTGAAATAAGGTAAAAGATCATTTTAAAAAATGAATAACTGACACGACTCTTGAATTAAATAGAATTCTACAATTATAAGGAAAAAAAATACAAAATGTTTATCATGTTTATAAAATTAGGTCATTGGACTCTTATGAAATCATGTTCTGTCAAAACATAATTCTATGTATTGCGAATAAGTTCTAGATGATACATAAATGAATCCTTTGGTTGTAAATAATCTATTGTAGAATGAACAATTATAAAATAGTATTTCAAAACTAATAGTCACAGTCTTACGTACTCTCGAGGTGGAGTATAATCTATTGCTGAATGAACAATTATAAAATAGTATTTCAAAACTAATAGTCTCAGTCTTACGTACTCTCGAGGTGGAGTTTTTCACGCGTGATAAAATTATTTAGTAATTTTTCGAATAGTAGTTGTTTTATTTAATCAAAAAAGGAAATATACAAAGTATAATATAAAATATGTCCAATTCAACTTTTGTATAATATTGATATAAGTCTATTTTTTTTATTCCAATAGCAAATGCTTATAATATTGAGGATATTACTTAATGTTACAATTTTGACTCAGTTTAAGAAAAAAAACATAATAACATTATATATTTTTATTGCAAATATACAAGATATACATATATGTATCTAAAAGCTTTTATACTGAGCACTGTTTTGATAGAGACAACATCTTCAATGAAAATTTCCTTTAAAAACAAATACTCAACCTATAATTTTAGATGCTTATTCTCTCATTCATCATACACTTTATGTATTCTTTCATATATAATTAACCTGGACATATCATTTAAAAACAAATATATTGAATTTGATTAATCACACTTATAATTGATATCTTTACACATATAAATATATACAAAGTTAAAATTAAATAAGAGTTAAACATTGTAGGCACACTAACACAATCTTTTTGCTACGTTTTAAAATAAAATTAGTTTGTTCAACCCAATCAAAGAGAAAAGGGTTACAGAAAAAGCCCAAACACGAACGGCGTCTCAGAATTAGGGTTTCAACAGGTATACATCTATTTAAACTACTATTCTCCTCTGCAAACTCATTCATTCACCGCTGCTTCTAATAGCCCTTTGATTTAGTTTTTAGTTTTCTTAATTAGGGTTTTGCTCTTTTGTTGAATTTATGGCTATTTTGTACCAATGAGGAAGACATCCCAGGAATAGGAAGTGCCGTATGACACTTTAAACAGCAGCGGCGGCGCCGTTTCCACGCTCGTTCCCATCCACCGTTGATCGGATTCCTTCCAGTCTCCGCTCAATGGTCGGGATCTGTGGCTTTCTGCTCCGCCGCTGTGTGTGTGATTTGTAACGGGTCTCTGAGGTTTCATCCATTTTAAAAATTATTTATCATCTTATCGGTCCGATGCCACGTCGACGGTAGCAAAATGCGATGACCGACGATGCTATGATTGGGCCAACAACAAGTTTTAATTAACGTTTCGCATTCTGATAGGAATCTGTGTATGGATTTTTTCAATTCCTTCACAGAGCCGTTTCGTGCGATTACATTCCTTTTCTAATTTATTTCTTTTGAAGCCAATGATGATTTTTATATAAATATTTGGAATTACCGTCTGAACATTATTGATGTGTGATCGACTGTCTGAGGCTTCACTGTTAGAATTCAGCTTTTTTTTGTTGATATTACTTTGAATTAATATATTCTACAAACTGACTATACTGAATTTTTCATGGTTCAATGAAAAATTGTTGATATTTAATCTTAAGGATCGGATCCCTCTTTATTTTTTAACGAGTTAATTAATTACATCTTAAATATGTAAGAGATAATTGTTTAGTTTTATTCTTCGAGAAAACATTTTGTGATTATTTCTGTTTCAGTCAATAAATTTAACAAGTTATTATTTTTTCTGAAAAAAAATTATAATTTTAATTAAATATATCTTTTAATCATTTAACTTTAATACACAATTAATCACAATAACTACCGCTTAATTGTATGCAAGTATATCAAATGAGCAAAATAAGGAACATTAATGGGTCCTCGTATAAGATTTCAAATCAGCTCTACCTTTTTTTTTCTTTAACTAAATATAAAAGAGTGAAATGTTTCATTATGTGAAGACGAAAATTAAACTATAATTTTTATGACCAGAATTTTATTCATTAACTTGAGAAATTGTTGTTAGGTTCGTGAGAATGTGAGCCATCAACGAAGTGTAGAAAAGCTGTAGAAGTAACTGAGGAATTGTGTTAATTAGGACAGTATCGTTTTGTAGCTTCTGTATTCTATTTTTTGTTTTATAAATAATGAAGTACATATATAAAATAATCAATTAAAAAAATGAGGCTCTTATACTAGATTATATTATATTTTAATTTCTTATACAATTAAACACCAATATATATTCTTATCTCATTTCAAATTCATGAAATACAAGTAATAATTAATTGAATTGTTGATACATATATGATTAATATATTGATAAATAACTTTCTATTTGGTCTCTTGGATGCATTATTTATACATATATATATGTTTGTTATGGAGCACAATTATACAAACTTTGCTATATAATACAAATTTGAATTTTGTGTTTGCTATATGTAAAAGTTATCCTATAATTAATTACTGAGTCTTCCTATTATGTAAATAATTTTAATAATTAATTTGAATTATTCTTACCATAATAAATTACAATTCATTCTACTCGAAATTCGTAATTGCACTCCTCTATTTATATATCGTAATTCTAATAAACACTTGTGTAATTTGTCATGTTAAGATTTCAGATACTAATTAATAAATTAGACTACTGACGAATTTAACTTAATGATTAATTTCATTTAGAGCACTACTTAACTTATTTCATGTGTCGGATTCATAAATCCACTTGCAATGTTTGATACGATGAAAACTTATAAGTTTCTCAAAAAAACATATCAATCAATCTCTAAAAGGAGACATGGATTCCATCAACTAACTTATTATTTCACCAGTATATATTATTATTATTCAACTTACTAGACATATTGACCCATATCAGAATATCACCTTTTAATAAATCAAAACAATAATTAATATATAAAAATCATAATAGTTATATCAGGATTAAGAATATAAGTATATTTAATAGTTTAGAGAATATGTTTTTGTCAGTCAATCTAAAACAAGTATCTCTACTTGGTCCCGTTCAATACATACAAAATATACTAACACGAGAAGTTAGAGTTATACGGTTCCCATAATCAAGATAAATATATCTAATCTTGTGCTACAATCGTACCCGATGACATGTCCAATTTCCATCCTAGATTGTGAACAAAAAACTTAATACTTATAAGAACTGATAATTTAATCCTCTGTGTGTAAGCTAAAACTCTACACACTAAATCATCTACTATATAAGTAAACTGACACCATAAAAGAATATATGATCTAAATAGATATTTATTCTATAATAAATATTCTATCTTAACATATGATTAATAATATATATATAAATAATTTCTCACTTAGACTTTTAACCATCGAAAATTGTTATAATGTACTTACTATATTTAAATGTATGTGTGTGTGAGAATTCTAAAATATCTCTGTTAAAATAAAATTACGCAAAAGCTGAAAAGCAAACAAAAAAAATGCAAGTAAGAAAGAAAAAAATAGATTAAAATGGAAAGAGAAAAAGTAAGAAATTGAACAAGAACAATATGGGCCCCACATATACAAATGGCAGCTCAAAAAACACCTCACACAACTGACATTATATGCGTCTCACCCACCATAAAATTTTTCGTGATAGAATAATGAGAAATATGTGTCTATTTCTGTTTGGCGTTATAACGTTGCAAGTAGGTAATCAATAAAATTTATTTATTTATTAAAAAATAAAATAAAATAAAGATCCCACTTACTATCCATTAATACAACACATTCACATCATATCACATCACACAAATAATCTATTCTCTTTGAACATGAATTTATTTTTACAAAATTTAAAATGATATTTCTTCTTTAAACAAGATATGAACTTACAAATTTGAAATTGAAATCATAATTTCAAATCAGTATAAGAGATTGGACATCCAATCACAAGGAAACACTAGCAATTGTTAATTTTATGGCTCAAATTCTTGGTAAATAAATTATAAAAGGAAAAATTGCTCAAAGTCAATTATTAGCTATGTATTTAATATAGATAACTATATTTTAAAAAATTACAATAAAACACTATATAAGTTGATTATTATAATAGTAAATACCATGTTTATAATCCAACTCCTAAATAAATGCAAATTTCACTCTCTTCAATCCCTCTCTCACTATTTATTACTACTTCTCTCTGTTTTCCCGCTTCTCTTTTCTCCTTTTATTTTAATTTCTTTTCAATATCCCAATTAGATTTTGATTATTCAAAATTAAAATTTCATTAAATTAGGTATCAACCTGTGTATGTATTCATTGAGTTCATCTCGGTACTCTTTAAATTTGTTATGTATTTTTGTGTCTATCCATATCATATTCAAGGTTTAGAAAGGGGGAGAGATTTTTGTGTCTATCCTTATCGTATACTCTCAATTCGTTGTATTTGAGATCGAGAGAAAAGAAAAGATGAATATAAATGTATTGATTGTATTTCGATTGCAATTAATATGGAGTAAAAAATAATTATTTATTTTTTCTCAAAAATTCACAAAACAATATAAAAAATATAAGTGTGAAGCAAATCAAAATATAAATGCGAATTATAATTATTAATTAGTGATACGATAGCTATGAATCCTATTTAAGACCTACTATTAATTATTTTCGAAAGCTAAATAACATTTTTACCCTTGTTAAGAAAAATAAAAATAAAACATCGAGGCCCAATTGGGTCCAGAGCATCAGAATTAGGGTCTCACACACCTGGCCTTGTCTATTTAAACCGATATTCACCTCTCTACTCTCATTCATCTCCGCCTTCTTCTGTAAATTTTACATACTTTTTAATACCTTGTTAGGGTTTGATTTTTGAATATGTAGCTAATCTGCATCACATCCAAGTGCCGTATGACACTTTAAACAGCAGCGGCGGCGCCGTTTCCACTATCGTTCTCATCCACCATTCATCGGATTCTATCCAGTCTCCGTTCAATGGTCGGGATCTGTCGCCTTCATTTGTAACGGGTCTCTGAGGTTCCGTCCATTTTTAAAACTATTTTTACTTTTATCAGTCCGATGCCACGTCGACGGTAGCAAAATGCGATGACCGAAGATGCTATGATTGGACGAACATCTAGTTTTAATTAACGTTTCGCATTCTGATAGGAATCTGTGTATGGATTCATTTTCAATTCCTTCACGGAGCCGTTTCGTGCGATTACATCTCTTTTCTAATTTACTATTTATTTCTTTTGAAGCCAGTGATGATTTTTATATAAATATTTGGAATTACCGTCTGAAAATTATTGATGTGTGATTAATTATCTGAGGCTTCACTATTAAAACTTTGAGTACTAGTAATTTTTTGAGGTGATCAAAATAAATGTTAAGACTACAAACTGAATTTAGGACAATTACAATGATACTATCAATATGAGAAGTAATATACTTTATATTCTAACAAAATTAGAATCCTAAATGAGAATATTAGGTTTGTGCACAAAAAACAAGTCATCAATGACCAAGCTATTGTATAACATTTTGTGCATTTGATACGATATGACCAGTAATTTGATAAACTTGTGCTTTGCATGGATGAATTTGGACACTTGGCTACAATTTATTTTGCCTATAAAAAGGCGTAATGTTTGTGAATGGAGTGCAATACTCCCTCACGTTTACAACTCCTTCGTCTCTTTAATATTGTCTTCTTTTAAGTTAATCACTTTGGCTTTGTTATGTTAATTACTTGCTGATGATAATTAATTTGCTGCTATCTCTATTAATTTAACATATTAATTTAAGATATGAAAGTGTTTATTTTATTTTGAGAAATATTTCACACCATTAAAATAGTCTCTTAGGATAGTGTCCAAGTATTTTATTTATATTTTTTAGTATTTTCATCTTATGTTCGGGATCACTTCTTGATAAATTATAAAGTTATTTATTATTATTATTATTGTGAAATTTCTAATATTTCCCCACTTTTTAAATAATATCTTCGGATATGTGATAGTTTGAGAGTGAATTAATTTTTAAATATTTTGAATTATTAATTATTATGATTTATGTGACAATATCTGAAATTTTTTGAATTAATTAAATTTTAATATGTTTTTTTAAAAGTATTTCAAGTATGTAATTTTTAAATAATATATGTTATTTTTCTTGTCCGAATTAATATGGAATATGTTAAATTTTGAAATTTAATCAAATTTTTAATATATTTTTAAATATTTTAAGTTTTAATTAATAGTACTCTTAACGTAATTTTAAATAATATATGTTATTCCTTTTGCAAAAATTTGTAACACAAGTAAACTTTTGGTAAAGAAAGATAGTGCCTATTTGGTCGATCAAGTAAAGATTAAAAATGCTTTGAAATGGCAAAGTTTGGAAAAATAATAATAATGATTTTTTAAAAAGTTTTTTTTTTTATATATATGTTTATCAGTTGTTTCATGATATTAAACAAGACGTTTCTTTAAAAGAAATTATTCATCAAAATAATAAAATACACAATATAATATGATACGTTATAAAACGATACATAACAACCATGCATATTCAAAAAAGGTGTAATAATATTTCATTGAATCAAATGAAACGTATTGACATCTCATGTGAAATATAATAAACAAAAGTTAAGAGGATACAACATCAACGAAAATAAAAAGTAAAAATAAAGATAGTTGTTGAGATCAAAAACTACTTTGTAAGGTATTAGAAAAATATAAAGTATAGTTACATTCATGAGAAGGTAAGATGACATAAAAATTAGAGTGAAGAAAATCAATTGCTTATTGATGAACATCATTTTCTCAAGTAATTTTAAGTTCTTTTGGTTGAATAGACACATTTTCTATTGATATTTATAGTGGGTTGAAATCATTATTGCCTTTTGAATTAAAGATCAATGTACTTCTTACATTGATTTTTTCTTAAATTACTTATTTATTACAAGTAAACATAATTAAATTTTGTTTCTTTTAAACATAATGACATCTAATAAATTTTAATTGCTAGTCAAATCAGTATAATGTCTGTTACTCACTAATGATTTCTCTTCCTTTCTCAAATTAATTACAATCCTGCATAGTAAATGAGTAATTATTCGGACCTGTGCCATTTCTATCATATTTCATTCAAATATATTTGTGTTATATTATATTTATTATAAAAATACATTATATTGTGATTATTCATTTAAATATATAATGTCTTAGATAAGCTTGCAATCAAATAGCTCAAGCAAACAACTTACAAGAAACTCAAGCATGGAACTTAATCAAACAGACAATTTACAAAGTAGATAGACATGAGTTTCAATGGACGGATTGGATTGAAATTGGACAAGTTCTAATGAACTGAATTGAACTAAAACCAAAAGTTACTTGAATTAAAATTGATAATCTTTCCGACTTGAGCCAATTTTTTTCTTAAATAATCCACCTTCCTCCACTCCATCCCACCCTCCCCTAATATCTATCTAGGCTCGAGCCCTTCCAACCTACACTTAACCCTTGTCACCGACCTGAGGCATACGACATGATTCAGAATCCAACCTTAAATCGAAACCCAATTCCAACTTGGGAACATACCCTACCCTAATCAAGATATGACCCTGACATAAAACTCGACCCCGATCCGTAATCCAACCCCGACTCCAGACCTAATACTACATTGGAATCTAAAACTGTAACACCCCATATTTCGTACAAAGGCCACTCTCTCACCTCTTTCGTCTCTTCCTTCACCTCGCCAATCTCACCTCGCTCGCCTCTTTTCTCTTTTCAGTTATCTCTTTCACCTCTCTCTCGTTTCTATTTTTCCAATCTCTCTCACTTTATACAAACACAAATGTATAGTTTATGTTTGTTCTTGTATAAAATGAGAGAGACCGGATATACAACTACATATCTCTCCATCCACACACTTACAACTATACATACAAAATACAAATACATATCTCTCTATCCTATACATTTGTAATTATACAAATACAAATCTTCCCCTGCCCAATTCTTCCCCTCTCTCGCTTTATACAAACACAAATTGTAATATACATTTGTAATTATACAAATACAAATCTTCCCCTACCCAATTCTTCCCCTCTCCCGCTTTATACAAACACAAATTGTAAAAATTCAATATAATTTGTGTTTGTATAAAACGAGAAAGAGATTGGATATACATCAAATTGTATGGAGATATACAAATACAATCACAGATACATATACATAGTAGTTACATATATACAATTATATAACCGATATACATATACAAGCGATGCGCTTTTATACAAAAGAAATATCTGCCTGCTATTTAACAAATCTGATGCTCCATAACAAACATAAAATTTTCTATGGAGCGTAATTATACGAACTATAACTATAACATACAAATATAATTTTTATATTTGTTAAACCTAAAAATTACTAGCTTGAATCAAACAAATAACTTCCAAATAGTTCAAACAGGCAGCTTGCAAATAGTTTCATTATGATGATTCGCTTTATATAGTGTAAATCAGTAAAAGTTTTTCAAATGTTAATGATAATTTCGTAATGATAAATCTCTTTATAATTCAGTATCAATAAAAGATTTTGAGAATTTCTTAAGATGGACTAATCTATATGTTAAGAGCAAAGGCCAGTTGTTCCACAACATTAAATAAGACCTTTTTTTAATAATATTTTATCCATCTAAATAGTAAAATATGCAATACAATATAATACGTTATAAAACGATACATGACAACCATGCACATCTAAACAAGGTGTAATCAATAACTCTTTGAATCAAATGATACCAATTGACATCTCATTTATTGACAATCATAAGTACAAAGGCAATTTTCATATTGTCCACTAAAATACTTGCAAGTTGCCTCAGGGTGTCCTTGACTATAGGATCCTTCACATTGCTCATGGCAACATCTTACATTGCAACTTGGGTCACATGGACCAAAATTTACTGTACATCTCTTAACCAATTTTGTCTTCTCACCCATGATCCCCAAAGGACTCAAGTTGCTACTTCCTTTGACACCTAAAAAAAAGGGAAAATTAATATAAATAGCTGACAGATATATAATATATATTTATAATAAAATTATGTTAGATAGACATCATTTCGTCACTCTTAATTAAAAGTTTTAAATTTTTGAGTTATCAGTGACAGAGTCATGATTTTTCATAAAAAAAATTTGAAATATAATACATAAAAATTAAAAGAATTCAACATCAATGGAAATGTAAAGTAAAAATAAAGATTGATTTTTTTAAATCGCTAGATGGGTGAAAAGATAAACTATTTTGCAAGTAAAAAGAGAAATATAAAGTAAAATTTACCGTACTTACATTCATAAGAAGGTAAGATGACATAAAGAATTAGAGTGAAGTAAATCAATTTCATAGTGATTGACATCATTTTCTCAAGTAATTTCGTTGAAAATATTTTAGAGTGGTTGAATAGACACTTTCTACTGATATTTATAGTGGGTTGAAATCATTATTGCCTTTTGACTCAAACATTAATGTAATTCTTTTTCTATTTTTTCTTAAATAACTTATTTATTACACGTCAAAATAATAAAATTTTGTGTCTTTAAAACATAATGACATCTAATAAATTTCAATTGCTTGTCAAATCAGTATATTGTCTATTAATCACTAAAGATTACCATTCGTTTCTCAAATTAAACTATTTATTAGGATATGTACATTTCTCTAATGTAATATATTTCATTTAATATATTTTTGTTATACTATATT